CGATATCGTTGACTTGATTGCAAATGATTGCACAGATACTATTTAAACTGAACTGAGCTGGATGATAACATCACTGAATTCAATGATGAACTGCCTTTAATTGAGTGTTTGCTATTTTCATTTTGCATTATTACACACTATTTTCCTATTTGATATTGTAAAGCTGCTTTGACAAAATCTGTATTGTTACAGTTTTTTTCAATTGTTTACACGCAATTTTGAACACCGGGTTCTTTTTTTCACAATATAAGCACAATTATCCAAACACCACACTCAATTTGCATAATTCCTAGATTGTTTGCAAAATGACACACTTCAGTCAAAACATACACACTTCAGTCAAAACATATACACATATTTGTGAAAATGCTATTAGTTTTCATTTAACCAACACAGTCCTCAATGATCAGACACTATTGCAGCCAGTTTCACACTGCTGTGATAAATAAAAAACACATTTGTACAAAAACTAATTTTAGGAAAAAGCATGTGCTAGATTTTTGGCCACACATTGTTATGTAAGGAATAATTTAGATGGGGAAAAAAAAAAAAGAAAAAAAAGTGACAAACCCACAACATTCTTCATGATTAGTTTGAGATATAGGGAGAATGTACACAAATTGGCCTACTATAAACTTACCAAGCACTGCACAACACTGATGCTGCAGACTGAATATTTCAAGTAGTTATTTCAATACTTACAGTATTTCTTACCATAATCAGTTACAGTAATCAACCAACAATGAAATAAATGAAACAAATAAAATCTGTAGACAAATAAAAATTACTGCATGAAGTACATACACTTTGACTCTGAAGAAAAACTACTGTAAAAGCAACAAGAATACTGTAACTACTCATCTCTCCGTCTGGCATTTTAGTGTGTAAACAATCGTAAAAAACTGTAAAAGCGCTATGTAAATAAAGGTGACTTGACTTGACTTGAAACACACACACACACACTCACCATGCACGAGTCGATGGTTCCCGCCTCGTATCCGGCACAGAGCATGCGTGACGTGATGGTCTTCATGTCGAAGTAAGACTGACACTGGGAGACTGAGATGATCCGCACCTCTCCCTCCTGGAGCTTAAACGGCACTGTGGGAGAAGAGACGCACACACACACACACACATACTGTGATCAGACACGAAAGTGAAGTGTCAGTTTAGTGCTGTACTTTGTTACCAATCTGACACTTCAATTATTCTGGATTGAAGTGGTCAAAGCAGAAGAGCAGATGCTGCACTGGCTGTAACAGTAACAGCGCTGAAGCTCTGTGGAACAGCACAATATTTCCGCTGGTCTTCTCTGCCCCCTTGTGGCAACACATGGCAGCTTCAGTCTAATCTAGTAGGACAGAATCACTCTTCAACAAAAACATCTGTCAGCAGAGCTGGGTAGATTCCTTACAAATTGTAGTCTGTTACTGATTGCAAATTACATGACAAGAATTGTAGTTAGTAACGTAATCCATTACATTACACATTTTAGGTTATATAATCAGACTACTTTTAGATTACTTTTAGATTACTTTTGACCTAACTCGACTACTTTTAGATTACTTTTAGATTACTTTTGACCAAATTCGTTTATCATACTGATCTAAATAGGGTAATCTTGCACCGTATTGATATAAAAATACAAAGAGTAAGAAAATATATTCCATTCGTTATTAACAACATGAAGTGCATTAAACATTACATGACACAAGGTTTACCAAACTGGGGTTAGTGAAGGAACTGCAGGGTGTTCGTGAGTTTTATGAAAAGCTAATAATTAAATCATAAAAATGTCAAATTAAAATAAATCCTTTTAACAACATCAGCATTGCTTGACTATGAGTATAGTGTGTATTAGCTTGTAGATTTCAATTTCTGTACAGACTAATCTCTAATTGTCATACCACTCGAATTTCATATTAAGAAATTCTTTTAACCCAAAAAGCAAATTATCCTTCCTTTGAATTGGTTTTCTTTAAAATACAAATCTTGTGTAATCCCAGGCTATCTGTAATCACATGCACATTTAAAACTGGAATATAAATTTCATTCACATGTGTTTTAAAAACACATAATCCTTTCTGGATTACAATCAGCCATCAAAATGATACATTTAATTATTCCAGCTGCTGTGAGAAAAGGCTATAAACGGAGAAAAGGCTAACCCTAACGACCTGCAGGATCCTCACATGCGATAGCCTAGCAGCCGGGACAACTTCTTTATGTTTACAGACGTGAGTGTGTGTGTGTGCGTGCATGAGTGTGTGAGTGTGTGTGTGTGTGTGTGTGTGTGTGTGTGTGTGAGTGTGTGTGCGTGCGTGCGTGTGTGTGTGTAAGTGTGTGTGTGTGTGTGTGTGTGTGTGTGTGATGAGTGTGTGTGTGTGCGTGTGTGTGTGTGTGTGTGTGCTCCACTCACTTCTGTTCCCCATGTGTCCCCAGCCCGTGATGTGGCAGTACTTGTCAGCTTTGGGCAGCTGTCCGCGGCCGGGCAGACAGACGGGACGCACATAACTGGTCACCTCCACCTCGGTCTCCAGCTCCAGCACGCTGATGTCGTAGTCCACCACGGCCCGGTTGTAGCGCGAGTGGACGACGATGCTTTTGATGTGCCGCGTTTGCATGTATGGAGACGGATGATCCAGATTATTGATGCCAAGAACCACTTTCCACACGTCTGCGCTCTCACGCCTGCACACACATTAAACACGCCATTCTGCATGACTTACACTGACTCATCAGCGCTTTATACAATATAGATTGATTCAAAGCAGCTTCAAGTAATAAACAGGAAAATACAGCGGTGGCCAAAATTGTTAGAACACCTGACAGATCTGAAAATATTTTTGCCTCCAAAACATGATTTCATTTCATAATGTTCATGAAACATGCAGATGGTTGCTGAGCACAACAAATATCAGATGAAGTGAGTCGTACTGTTTTTAACTTTAATGTTTGTTATGTCCACCTTTTGCAGCAATGACAGCAGCACATCTCTCTGGCATAGTGTCAATATATTTCCTGAGAACTTCAACACTAATGTTATCCCATGTCTTCTGCAACTCAAGCCACAGGCTTTCTTTTGAATGTACAATAGATCTGTCCAGTTTATTTTCCAACTTGCCCCAAATTTGCTCGATGGGGTTGAAGTCTGGACTTTGAGGGGCCAGTCCATCATTTTCAATGTTCAGGTAGTTCCGGCAATAGTTCATTTTATGGGTATTGTAATGGCCAATTCAACAAAAACAACTGAAACCTCTTAAATATGCCAAGTGTTCCAATAATTTTGGCCACCACTGTATACAGTGTTAATATTGCACAACTTTCAGCTGTAAAGCAGCTCTACAGAAGACAATAGAGTCATTATTCAGATTCAGTTCAATGTTTGTGTGTGTGTTTGTGTGAGTGTATGTGTGTGTGAGTGTGAGTGAGTGTGTGTGTGTGTGTGTTCTCACCCCTCAAAGCAGTGCGCTACAGTTAGTGCCCACTTGTTCCCGATGAGCACACAGCCACAGATGTGTCCGCTGGGTTCACTCTGTAGGGAGCACTGCCACGGCCATCGGCCCGGACGACTCGTGCGGCCTCCCAGAATCCTCTTCACCATCCGGGCAGCGGGCCGGCGGCCACATTCTGAAACACAGAGGACAAACAGAGAAAATGAAGGACGAAACAGTGTCTTATGGCCAGCAGAAGTGTGTGTGTGTGTTTCGTGTGTGTGTGTGTGTGTGTGTGTGTGAGAGTGTGTTTGTGTGAGTGTGTGTGTGCTGCTCATACAAACCGTCTCTTGTACACTTCAGTGAGATCTTCTTGTATGATGGGCAACTCTGCCTGCAGACAGGAAATGATGTTGATCAGTGTCATATGATGGATTCCAAACATATTTAACATGGAGCGTGTTGTATTTTTGCAGCTGTCGTGTGTGTGCAGAAAAACACACTCATACACACACTATGGCTGCCCCCTAATAGTCGATTAATAGTCGTTAGTCGACGAGAAGGCTTGGTCAACCAAAATTTTATTAGTCGCTTATTATATATAATAATCACTTTTTCAAATAAGTAATGGCATTTTCCATGTATTGACTGACAGCTCTCCTGTCCGCATGTTACATTTGTGTTAGTAGTGTTGAACTTTCTTCTCCTGCGTCCTGTTCTTCATGTAATACAGAACGGCAGCACAGCTGAAGGTTTGTTTGAGCGGCGCCCTCTACTGTACAGACCTGAATTTACATTTGCTTGAAAAGGCCATTTAAAGGCATTTTACTAGGGATGTCGCGATCAGGTTTTTTGTGCACCCGATCCGTGTCATTGAATATTGAGTATCTGCCGATGCCGAGTCCCGATCCGATACTTGTATTTTCGTAGTGCTTGTTGCACAATTCAAGTACATTAAAGTTTTTAAACTCAATCCAATGTGTACAGAGTTGTGCAGAGACTTTCTCAGTGGCAGGGGCTAAAATGGAAAAAAGGGGTATCTATCTTCACTAATATCCAATATAGCAATTACTATATAAACTATATATACTATATATACCTTTCAATAATAAGATACACACTATCTCTCTATATATGCACACACTGTATAAAAACACTGGTAGATTTAAACATGTTGCAATGATAGACACTGTAAACAGACTGTGTGGGCACAATTATTAATAAGGTACTACTGATATAAATAAGCAGATTAATTGCAACAAAGTGAAAAAAGTTGAGATAAGGTTAGAAAGCATGAAGTTTGCGAATGTCAGAATGCCAGTCTATTGCGTCCAAAGCAAGACGCAACCCATAGCAACACATTATGACAATGACGTCTCAGATAGTCTGTCGGCAGATAAAAGTAAATAGTAATAAATTACTGTAGAGTGATTCCGCTAAACGCTTAATCTTGAACGCGTGTGACACGCTAGAACAGACCTCATTGTTCTTGTGCGTCAAACACAAACATTTGAGCGTCTTCTTTTCATTTTAATGGTGGTGAACTGTTGTAAGTGCATACCGCCACCTATTGCATGACACCGGCATGACAGCTGACGAATCACTGGTGGATCAGGCTTAGGACAACCAATACCGATTAGTTAAAAAGAATGCTTAATCGGCTTGCAACCTCCCTACCTTTTACATTTACCAAAAATAGATCTTTTTAATATTAAAACAAAAAAACAAGCAAGTAATGCAATTAGTTACTTCTTTAGGGAGTAATGCAATATTGTAATGCATTACTTTTAAAAGTAACTTTCCCCAACACAAGCAAAGACCTATATTACAACCTTCAACATATTTAGACTTTGATGACCCAAAAAAATGGGTTGGTCAGATGTAGATAAATGGATGTGAACAATTGATTTAATAATTTTGTTCCCAAATGCACAGCTAGGTCACACACACACACTCATTCACACATTCACACACACACACACACACACACACACACACTCACTCACCCTCGCTTTTCCAGCAGGCCCTGTAGAGGAAACATGTTCTGTGGATTCCAGTCTGGGTCAACATGCATCCAGCGCCTCCGTCCCGCAGCAGACGACACGTACAGCACCGCGTCTGCAGAGAGAGGAGAACTACACACACATACACACACTGCAAATCACAGCAGCAGTAACAGCACAATTAATATATTTAGACAGAGAAAGATCTTTAAGGCTTGTAATATATTAGATCAGGGTTCTTGTGTCCTGCAGTGTTTTTCTGAAGAGTGTGCATGTGAAACTAAAGTAACAGAAAGCAAATTACTGATGCGCTGCATGTTAAGAATACAGTGCAAACGCGGCACACGTGAGCGATGCTGTGTGTGTGTGTACTGACCTTACCCTAAACCCATCTGTGTACACGCGACGCTGCTGAGATTTGAGCTCCATCCATCCGCACACACCCGATACTCCAACCCAGCCTTATGCACCACAACAAATCCCTCGTCAGACAGAGACACTGCACACAAACACAACACACTCGCTTACTAATGGTCACCATCTTCACCAGCATTGTTTTTCCAACAAAACACAATCTGTCTGCAGCTGCTGTATTATCAGGATGACATTGACATGATTTAAAGGGGTCATGAACTGAGAAACCAAAATTCCCCTGGTCTTTTGACATGAGATGTCATTGTACCATAAAAACATCCTGTAAGTTTCAGAACTCAAAACTTTCTCTTTAGCCTAAAAACATCTTATATTGTAGGCAGTCCAAAACTGCCACTCTATGATGTGTGGATAAACCCCGCCTCGCAGAAAAAGATCAATGCCTGCTTCTACATCGCTGCCTGTTTAGCCCCGCCCACCGATTCTATATAGCTGTCTGTTTAGCCCCGCCCACCGATTCTACATCGCTGCCTGTTTAGTCCTGCCCACCGATTCTACATCACTGCCTTTTTAGCCCCGCCCACTGATTATATATCACTGTCTGTTTAGCCCCACCCACCGATTCTACATCGCTGTCTGTTTAGCCCCGCCCACCGATGCTACATCGCTGCCTGTGAAGCACCGCCCACCGATTCTACATCGCTGCCTGTTTAGCCCCGCCCACCGATTATATAGCACTGCCTGTTTAGCCCCGCCCACCGATTATATATCACTGCCTGTTTAGCCCCGCCCACTGATAATATATCACTGCCTGTTTAGTCCCGCCCACCAATTCGCACATGTATTGTTTACACAGGTCTACGTAGAAACCAAATTATAAAGATGCTCTGAAGACAACAAGATTCTGTGCAGTGCCAAGTTGTGGAAAAACAGTCTTTGCATCGCTTTCCTTCAGAAGTTCCCAGATGAAAAAAACGTACACTTCCATAATGTACTTAAAGTGCTCTATTTTCACGCACTAATTTTGTACTTAATATACTAAAAATTATTCTTTAGTATTTCTTAAGATAAACTTAAGATCATCTAAGTTTTCTCAACTGTGCTATTTTGGGACACCATGAATATAAACTAAAATGTGCTTTTAACATACTCTCTTTGTATTTAAAAAATGTATTTAGTCACCACTTGTAGTACACTTGAGTGTACTAGTGTATGAAAGATGGTTCAAGCGTACTACAAGTGGTAACTAAATACATTTTTTAAATACAGAGATAGTGTGTTAAAAGTGCATTTTAGTTCATATTCATGGTATCCCAAAATAGCACAGTTGAGTACACTTAGTTGATCTTAAAGGGTTAGTTCGCCCAAAAATGAAAATTCTCTCATTAATTACTCACTCTCATGTCGTCCCAAACCCGCAAGACCTCCGTTCATCTTCGGAACATAAATTAAGATATGTTTGATTAATTCCGAGAGCTCTCTGACCCTCCAATAGACAGCAAGGGTCCTTACACGATCAAGATCCAGAAACATAGTAAGGAGATCTGTAAAATAATCCATGTGATATCAGGGGTTCAACCGTAATTTTACGAAGCTACGAGAAATCTTTTTGTGTGCAAAAGAAAACAAAAATAATGACTTTATTCAACAATTCGTCTCCTCTGTGTCACCCTGGTGCCATTTTGGAGAATATCCACTGAAAGTAAACAGTTGTTTTCGTTCAGATCAAAGTGCAAACAACGTAGAAAACGCATCTGCGTGGCGCAGCTGACACAGAACAGCATACTCGGTTTACGAGTAGCACTTTAAGTACATTATGGAAGTGCACTTTTTTTTCACTTGGGATCAGCTGACGATGAATGGACAGATCTGGAGTCTCTTACCGCAGTTCCACTCATCTGAGCTGTCAGAGCAGTGTCTCCTGCCGTCACACCACAGCAAGCGGTGAACACACTGATGATTGTTACACTCCATCTCATGACTGCTACACACAGCTGAAAACACAAACACACACATGAGCGCGTACACACACCAGCACCGCTAAACTCTCTCTCTCTCTGTGTGTGTGTGTGTCGTTCACTCACAGCAGTTCTTCTCGTCCTCCTGCTGGCTGCAGTCAGGAAAGCCGTCACAGATCATGTTGTGATGGATGCAGGTTTTGTCTCCGGGACATTCCCACAAGCCCCGCTCCACACACCCTAGTGGCAGACACACACAGGAAACACTGGGTATATTTGTGAGCGGGATAATGCTACCCATCACGTCACGTGAGTGTGTTTTACTCACCGCATGTTTCCTCGTCGCTGTCATCATCACAGTCCATGTGTCCATCACAGCGTTTGGATGAGAGGACACACCTTCCCGAGCGACACTTAAAGTGACTGGGTGAGCACTCTGAAACACACACACACACACACACACACACACACACACACGATCACCTAACCCTCATGGGAAACTGGGGAAGCTTTTATGTCTTGTTTTCAGGATACTGCATGATCATCAAATCATTGAAATGTATTGATCTGAACAATGATTGTCTCCTGTTGAGCTGCTTTACAGCTACGTTAGTTTCATTTTCCTGTTTATTACTGTGGGGCTGTTTTGGAATAATCTGTTTTGTATAAAGCGCTACAGAAACAGATGTTTTGACTTGATGACGTGCATTTGTCCTGCACTATATGGACAAAAGTATTGGGTCACACTTGGGTTTCAATAGGTGCTTTCACACCGCGTAGTTCTAGGAACTAGCCAGCAGGGTTGTTCCTAGAGAACCAATTTCTCCCTCGGGCTGTTTTCCTGGTTGCTTTCGCACAGGCAGCAGGAACTCTGAAGCCGCTAATCCCTTTATTCGCGGGATTTACAAACATCATCAACCGGTGAATGGAGGATGCCGTGTTCGGAGCTGTTTTTGTTGCGTGTCCTGAGTGTCGTGATAATGGAGATGTTATGTAAACGCATAGTTTACGCGATTGAAAGAGCAAGAACATCTGACTAAATTGTGGAGCTTCATGAATAGGTTTCAATGGCCAAGCAGCTTCATGCAGCCTCATATTAACCAGTGCAATGCCGAGCGTGGGATGGAGTGTGTAAAGCACATAGATACTGGACTCTGGAGCAGCAGAAACCTGTTCTGTGCAGCGACCAATCTTCAGCATACCAAGACATTTTGGACAATGCTGTGCTTCCAGCATCAGTGCCTGTCTCTCTCCTTCCATTCATAGCGAAAACCCTCGAACGAGTTGTTTTCAACCAGGTATCATTGTTTCTTTCACAGAACAACAAACTGGACACTAACCAGTCAGGTTTCAGGAGTGGCCATTCAACTGAGACTGCGATACTGTCAGTCATTGCAAAAGCTGATTCCAAATCATCAATTCTTATTCTACTGGATCTATCTGCCACTTTTGACACTGTCAATCACCTGATCCTCCTGTCTGCCCTCTCATCACTGGGCATCACAGGGATTTCACTTCACTGGTTTGAATCCTATCTCACTGGTAGGTCTTTCAGGGTGGCCTGGGGAGGGGCGGTCTCCAAAGCTCATCAACTGGTCACTGGCGTTCTACAGGGCTCAGGTCTTGGACCCCTCCTCTTCTCCATATACACTACATCACTGGGTCCCATCATACAGGCACATGGCTTCTCCTACCATTGCTACGCTGATGACACACAGCTCTATCTTTCATTTCAACCAGATGATCCAACGGTAGCTGCACGGATCTCAGGCTGCCTGGCGGACATCTCGGCATGGATGAAAGAACATCACCTACAGCTCAACCTGGCAAAGACTGAGCTTCTTGTCTTCCCTGCCACTCCAACTGACAGCTAAAAACTCATCTATTTTGTCACAATCTGACTTCATCCTAAAAAAAACAAGAGCAACTTTGTCTTCTCTTTCCTTTATTCTTTCCCTGTCCAGCTTGTACTTATTTGAACAATGCCTGAAACTTGGTATTACGAGCACTTCTGGTGTCTTTTTGCCTCTTTAAGAAGAATTGCTTGATGTATTCCCCAACTGTTGCTTTGGATAAAAGCGTCTGCAAAATGAATAAATGTAAATGTAGATGTATGAATGGGCAAACATTCCCACAGAAACACTCCAAAATCATGTGGAAAGCCTTCCCAGAAGAGTGAAAGCTGTTAGCTGTTAATGGGGACCAACTCCATATTGATGTCTATGTATTTAGAATGAGATGTCATTAAAGTCCCTGCTGGTGTAAAGATCAGGAGTCCCAATACTTTTGTGCATATAGTGTATCTGTGGATCTTCTATCAGGCAATAGAACTGCAAGGTTAAAAACAAATGACATTTAGTACATTGATAGGGAAGATCTGAACATTTCTGCTGGTTTTGTGCCTCCTGCACCACCAAGAGTTCAGATATAAGATAGCTTGTTCAAATGTAAATATTAGCTTGACTGCACACTGACCGTTCACATCCGGGTCAGGAAGCAAACAGGAACTATTTGCTTGACCTTCCTCTGGAAACTGAGCGCAGTCTGTATCCTCAGGCCACTGTAATCCCACAATTCCCAGCACTGATTCACATCGTTCCTTAGAATTCCTGCACAAAGACCTGATACACACGCACAGTCATCAATGTCTATTATATATAAAATTATAAAGGCCCGTACGCACACAGACTGACCTGCAGGGTGGCACTCTCTGCTGCGTTACAGGGTCACACATGGGCACAAGCACAGTACACGCAAAGAACATGAGATATTTGTAGCAGTTTGTCTGAACGAGCGCAGGAAAGAGCGAGGACTCCCAGCTCACAGACGTCTCCTTCTGAGAGTGATGACCCAGATAGTTGGGGAAGCGGGTGGAGTTATAGGGCAGATTCATGCAGATCTCCAGAGAGATGGGCTCACAGCCACCTGACAAACACACACACACACACATCTGTGTCAAATATTAACGTGTCTTTGATGTCTGTTTTTACCAGGTTAGATTATTGTAATGCTTTATTGGGTGGTTGTTCTGCACGCTTAATAAACAAACTCCAGCTGGTCCAAAATGCAGCAGCTAGAGTTCTTACTAGAACCAGGAAGTATGACCATATTAGCCCGGTTCTGTCAACACTGCAATTTTCCGTTATTCATGAGACAACGCTTCCCGGCCAAACACGGAATTTCCCAGATTTCCGTGTTCTCACTGTTATACGCTAGGGGGCACTATCACGCATCTCCTGAATGAGTCTAGAATCACTCGATCAAAAACACAGACGAGGAAGACGCAGAAACTAGCGATCTCATATGTAAGCATATGCATATGAAAAATAATGCAATCAACACTAACCGCATATAAATTAATGAATGATGCATTTATATAGCGCTTTATTGTGTATTGTTGTACACCCAAAGCGCTTTACAATCATGTGGGGGGGTCTCTCCTCAACCACCACCAGTGTGCAGCATCCACTTGGATGATGCGACGGCAGCCACAGGCAGGCGGCACCAGTGCGCTCACCACACAAATGATGAACTGCCTTTAACTGAAAAATTTGTATTTACTATTGTCATTTTTGCATTATTGACACACTATTTTCCTAATTAATGCTGTTCAGTTGCTTTGACACAATCTGTATTGTTAAAAGCGCTATATAAATAAAGGTGACTTGACTTGACTTGACAAGACATTAAAATCATCCAATCGCGTCACTTAACTCTTTCACTGCCAAACACGGAATTTTCCGTTATTCATGAGACAACGCTTCCCGGCCAAACACGGAATTTCCCAGATTTCCGTGTTCTCACTGTTATACGCTAGGGGGCACTATCACGCATCTCCTGAATGAGTCTAGAATCACTCGATCAAAAACCGGTGCTAAATGAAAACTGACTAATGTTCCCAAGTGAAATGTGGATCCAGAAAAGACTGTGAAGCTTTGGGAGTAATGATGGTAGCCATCTACTGCAGCTTTGCTGTGATAATATTACTGAATATGATCCAGATGCAGTGTTTGATAAAAATGCGATTTTCTCAGCTTTTTGCTCAAAATGTTGCTTTTTTTTATTTATTTAAAATAAATATTATTTTTTATGAAACCTACCTACAATCAAGTGTTGATAAAAAAACAATGCTTAAAACTAGAATAAAACTGTTTTTTGTTTTAAAGTAGAAGGTCTGATCTTTATTTGATGTATTGCATGTTCAGATATTGATACAGCAAAATATTCTGGGGGCCATCAAATTTTAGTGAAAATCAGCAAAAACGCTGGTGGTGGCTGGCAACTTTTTTCAAAAACGCTGGCAGGAGTTAAACGCAAGTGCTTTGCTATTTGACTGAACTAATTGTCACTAAATCTAAAGCAAATGATGGGAAACTGCAGCGTTCTGTGTTTGGCCAGAGGTCAGAGGTCAGGGGTCAGGGGTCAGTTGTTTGACTCACTGCAGTTGTTGACAGTGTTGCGCAGGTCACATGACGTGTTTCCATGACAGCCAGAGGAGCAGGAGGTTGAAGTACAACTGGACTGACGTCACAGAGCCAGTCTCGAGGAATACAGCGTCCTTCTCCACAGTGATGCTCTTTAGTCGGGTCACACACTACAGCACCGCAAAGGCCACATTATTTTTGAATTATGTCTCAAATTAAACAAAACACAAGCAGAAATTCATTATGCTTTATTGTTGAGCAGAACTTTCTAGTCTGACTGCATTTGACTGTTTTTATTCATTTTGAGGAACACTGAATGTGTTTGTGTGCAGTGAGATGAGTAAGCACATGTTCATATTTAGTCTAGAACTACAGTAAGATCATGTTCACACACAACGCTCTGCACTTACTCCTGATTTCTGTCACCATGGCAACACCAGAGCTGTCACTCAATACATGGAAACAAAGTAACTCAGATATTTCCTTCTAAATTAAAAAGTAATGCGTTACTTTACTAGTTACTTAAAATAAGTAATCTGATTACGTAACTCGCGTTACTTGTAATGCGTTACCCCCAACACTGAGCCAGCATGTGTGCTAACATGTTAACCCTAACCGCCCTCGATGATTTGATTTCAATTGTGAATCCAGACGCAAGAACTCACCACAGTTTTGCTCATCGCTCAGATCTCCACAGTCATCGTAGCCGTCGCACAGCAGATCAGAACTGATGCAGCGACCGGTAGCACACAGATACTGAGCATCTGCACAAGCTGGACACACCACAGAAGCACAGGATCACAGTGAACCAATGAGAAGAGAACGAATGATTCTTCAGTGCGTGGATGCAAACTGTGTTACTGTGTGTGAGCACAGGTGCCTCTCAATACTCAAACTGATGCATCTTCGTTTCCTCGCTCCTCCGTCCTCCAGCCGTGACCGAATATCCATCAAGCTCAGTCATCTTCTGTAATTGCTTCATGAGGAGGCGAGGAACGAGGAAGCTTTCAGACGAGCTGTGAGCGAGGATGCACAGTTTTTCTTCTAAAAAAACTGATAATGTATAATGCATACTTCTGTTTCATCAGTCATAATTGTAATGTGTTTTTTCCTTTGCAGTTTAAATAAACACCACATTTTAATTTACACTGCAAAAAATGATTTTCTTCCTTAGTATTTCTGTCTTGTTTTCTAGTATAAATATCTACAAATTCTTGAATCAGGAAGCATTTACTTGACAATATTAGTCTTGTTTTATGAAAATATTATCCAAATTTTGTTCGTTTTTGCTTAAAACAACTTAGCCCATTGGCAGATATTTTTGCTTGTTTTAATACTAAGGAAGAAAATAATTTTTGCAGTGATATGAATAACCAAACCTCACTGGCATAAGAGCAGATCCCTTGAGAGCAGCTGATGACGCTCTGAAGTGATGCTCGAGAGATCAAGAAAAATGTAATATACAAATCCATCAGCTTTCTGTCTGCATTTTCTTTCCTTGCATCATTTTCTCATATCTGATGGGGCTGGATCTGATGCACAGCTAGGGAATGAGAAGCACACACTTACTGCAGTCAGCCTCGTCGCTCCAGTCGTTGCAGTCGTTGAATCCGTTGCACACTAGTTTCAGGGGGAGGCATATTCCGGTCGCACACAGGAAGTGATCGCTTCCTCCGCACGCAGCTGAAGACAGAATCCCAAAAACACAACAGTCAGAACGTGGCCGCTCCAGACGTGATTCCAGTACTGGACGAGCACTCACAGAGCTTTCCTCTGGCGTGTCGCGGCGTGTAGCAGAGCGGCGTGTTTTCAGCGTTCATTCCCGTGTTGTTGGTGAACTGAGAGCAGCGCAGGAACTCCGGCCAGGACGCGTTAAACATCTGCAGCACGGGCTCACAGCCCTCACGAGCCGCTTCACAGAACGACCGACAGGGCAGAACCAGAGTCCTGCGGCAGAAACACGCCAGCGCTACACGTGGGTCATTTTCACCCACAGAGCATTTTCATTTTCCCATGAAATGCTAGTTAATGTTATCGCATTGGAATAACACTTACTGACAGGGTATGACAACAACTTCCCGCAAAAATTGGATAATTTTTGTTCTTTGTTAGGATTTTTCCTCCCACCGTGTTACACTTGTGGGTTTCCCATTCAAAAATGAGCAGCCCTTTAAAAATGACTTTTAAATCTCTCATTATGTTATATTATTGCCAAATATTGCATTCAGTCTTTTCATGGACTTGTTTTCTTTCGGTTAGCACAGGTTTTGTTTTCTTTTTGGAGCTGATTGATTGTAGGCCTCGTTTGATCTGAGCTTCAGTTTTGGAGTGAATATTAACAAAATTATCCACAAATTATGCTTTTTTTTTTACTCTAGAGCTGAGGTGCATAAGCTCAGATCAATGAGGCCTATAATCACTCAAATACTAATTGAAACTGAAGGACAACCAGTTGACAAAAAGATTGAATCCAATATTTGGTGATATTATAATGAGTGTAATGTATAATGAGCAGTTTTTAAAAGGCCAGGTTTAGTGTTATTTTTGACCAGGAACACTAAATGAGGTAAAGGATTTTCAGCACAGCACAAGAGTTAATGCACTGTTTGTTTTTATTTTAATTTAATTTTTTTTAAACTGCTGTGAGCTAAATGCTAATGCTAAACATGCTAAATGAGCGTATATGTGAGCATGCATTTACATGAGCATCAATACGCTGATAAATTTGAGCTTTATACATCATCTGAGAGCTGAATAAATAAGCTTTCCATTAATGTATGGTTTGTTAGGATAGGACAATATTTGGCTGAGATACAACTATTTGAAAATCTGGAATCTGAGGGTGCAAAAAAATCTAAATATTGAGAAAATCATCTTTAAAGTTGTCCAAATGAAGTTCTTAGCAATGCATATTACTAATCAAAAATTAAGTTGTGATATATTTGTGACCCATACAATGTATTGTTGGCTATTGCTACAAATATACCCCAGCGACTTAACACTGCTTTTGTGCTCCAGGGACACAAATCAGTTTACTGAAATAACCTGATTTTCCAGTTTACATGCAAATCAATAACCTGGCAATGAAGCACACTGAAGCTGAACACGAGACAGAGCGTGATGGGTGTCACAGACCTGCGGTCTCTGTGGCTGATGCATTGTGGGAGTGCGATGGAGCATCCGAACAGCATGATGTGTCTGTAGCAGGACAGTCGACTCAGGTAGCTGAAGAACTTGAGGAACATCTGCAGCTCGCTGATCTTGACGACCGTCGTCCCCGGCAACACGCCGCTCTGGTTGTACGGCAGCATGTGACACTGACTCTCCGTGATGTCAGAGCAGAAACCTGTAAACAAACATGAGAGAAATATGATTGGCTGATGCGTCTGTGTGTATGTCTGTGTGTGCGTGCGTGCGTGCGTGAGTGAGTGAGTGAGTGTGTCTGTGTGTGTGTGTGTGCGCGTGTGTGCGCGTAAGTCTGTGTGTGTGTGTGTGTGTGTGTGTGCGCGTAAGTCTGTCTGTGTGTGTGTGTGTGTGTGTGTGTGAGTGAGTCAGGCTCCAACCACTGACGCATCAGAGAAATACACCTCAATACAAACTCCTCATCCGCTTCACCATCAAAACACACCTACATACAACCACACTATACCTCAAACTATATCATAAAGTATATAAATAAAAAAAACATAAACCTCACAGAGACGGATAGAAACTATAAAAAAAAAACTAAAACTAAACTAAAAATACTAAATATTGTGTGTGTGTGTGTGTGTGTGTGTATGCTCTCTAAGAGAGTCTGATTGTAATTGTGATTCTAGTGCTTAAGTCAAAGTCAGAAAGACGAGAGGAACAGCCTTCACACACACACACACACACACACACACACACACACACACACACACACACACACCCCTA